TTGAGTCCGCTGCACGATAATCAACTTTTGACCCTGAAACCGACCCTGATGGCCTGGGTAACCACCATGAAAAGTCTAGAGCGGGGGTGCACTGATAGGAGCTGGTGGTGCACTGTAGGCTAGCTGATCGGAATACTGCATATGAGAGCCACGACCACCTAAAGCACCGTGAGAAGCCTGAAGTGCTGAATGAAACGGCCTGGGAGGATGGCCTCCAACAAAAGAATCCTTGCCTCCAAATGAGGCACCACTAAACCTACCAGAATGACGAGGCCTCTTGTCAGACCCCTGACACCTCCCCTAAGCTAAATCCATCTCAACTCGCCTGGCCACATTGGCCGCATCCTGGAAAGAAATCTCGCTCCCTATCTCTTTAGCCATCTGTAGTCTGATAGGCTGAGCGAGTCCCTAAATAAACCTCCTCACCCTCTCTCTGTCGGTAGGAAGTATAAGAAGAGCATGACGGGCCAAATCAACAATCCTAGTCTCATACTGAGTGGCGGTCATAGAACCCTGCTGAAGATGCTCGAACCACCTGCGGTAGTCCTCTCTCTGAGTGAAAGGAAGGAACTTCTCAAGAAATAGCCGAGAGAACTGGTCCCAAGTCAAGGCAGGCGACCCAGCTGGTCTAGTCAACACAAAATCATTCCACCATCTCTTGGCGGACCCTATCATCTGGAATACAGTAAAGTCGACCCCATTGGTCTCCACTATCTCCATGTTCCGCAACACCTCATGGCAGCGGTCAAGATAATCCTGTGGGTCCTCAGAAGCTGCCCCACCGTAATGAACCGGAAAAAGCTTGGTGAACTTGTCCAACCTCAACAAAGCCTCAAAAGACATAGCTGATCCACCAGCAGCCTGAGCCGCAATAACCGGCTGAGCTACTCCCACTGGCTGAGCTGATGAAGTCTGAAACTGAGGAGCCATCTGCTCCGGAGTGTGGATAGCGGGAGTCTGGGCTCCTCCTGCAGCCTGAGAGACGGCTGGTAATACAGGAAATGTGCCAGTTTCAGCTACGCTCTCCATAAGGCCCACTAGACGGACCAAAGCATCCTGAAGTACCGGGGTAGCGATGAACCCCTCTGGAACCTGAGCTGGCCCGACCGGAACGGTCTGGGCCGGATCCTCATCATCAAACTCCACCTAAGGCTCCACTACTGGTGCTGTTGCTCGAGCTCTAGGCTGAGCTCTGCCCCCGCCTCGGCCTATAGCACGGGCTCGTCCTCGTCCTCTACCCCTCGTAGGAGCTGCCACTGGTGGCTCGGGCTGCTGATCAGCTGATGAAGCGGTACGTGTTCTCGCCATCTGCGAAAGAACAAGTGTAGAAAGTTCAATTAGCATTGAAGAAATCAAATCACACGACAGAGAAGAATAGAAGTGAAATTGTTCCTAAACTTTGTAGCCTCTGGGGATAAGCACAGACGTCTTTGTACCGATCCCTCAAACTCTACCTAGCTCGTTCGTGAATTGTAAAACCTAGGCAACCTAGTGCTCTGATACCAACTTGTCACGACCCGGATTTCCCACCGTCGGGACCGTGATGGCGCCTAACTTTTCAAAATGCTAGGCAAGCCAACAGAATAAGATTTAATAGCTAACCACTATCCAAAACAGTAAATAACAATAATTAAACCAAAACAAGGTAAGGAAGTACGGAAATTCATAATAATCCAAAAACTAACACACGACTACCCAAAATCTGGTGTGATAATCCACGAACTTCTAAGAGTCACTACAATTACTGGTTTTAAGAAAATACATCTGTTCTTGAATTAAAAAAAAATAGGAAGACTAGGACAAATGGAAGGGGACTCTAGGGTCTGCGAACGTCGGCAGATCTACCTTGGGTCTCCTGATAGACTGAAGGCAGCAACCCAACTCTGATCAACACGGTCCAGTACCGAGATCTGCACAGAAAGTGTAGAGTGCAGTATCAGTACAACCGACCCCATGTACTGGTAAGTGCCGAGCCTAACCTCGGCGAAGTAGTGACGAGTTTAGGACAAAACAATAACATGAACATGTGTAGTTAAATCATATACGAGAAAATAACAACAAATGGGAATTTAGCAGGTAATAACGGGAAGGGGGAAAACATGTTGAGGGGAATATTAAATCCTGAAAATGGTACAGTAAAGAAATACAGTAAATATCATGCTTTGCACTAACGAAAGTAATGACATAGCAAATAAGTGCACGGCGTCACCCTTCGTGCTTTTATTCTCGTCCTCACCATAAGAAACAATAGAAACGACACGACATCACCCTTCGTGCATTAACTCTCTCATAACATGGCACGGAATCACCCTTCCTGTATTATCACTCACAGAATACGGCACGACATCACCCTTCGTGCTTTAGCACCCTCCCTCACCCAAACAACAAAACAATAATAACCCGGCAAGGGAATTATAAATAACAAGCTTCGTTCCAATATTTAACTTCACAACATCAATCTCAACTTGAGTCAATACTCAACCAATATCTAATTCCAGGAAAACAGGTTAAGAATTGTTTAACATGAGGAATAACCAGTTAAAGCATGAACAGTACGAGTAAGGAATACAACAGTCACAAGAATAAGACTAACTCGCATGCTATGACTCGACAACAACGTATAGGTACTCGTCACCTCACCTATATGTCGTACTCAACAACCAAACACGTAGCAAATAAAATAACAATACCTAATCCCTTAAGCTAAGGTTAGCCACAACACTTACCTCGATTTCACGGCCGAACTCAAGCCTCAATCACCGGTTTTCCTCTAGTTTCCACCTCCGAATCACTCGTATCTAGTCATAATTAACTTAATAACATCAATTATTTCTAAATAAATCAATTCCAATACACAATTATAGGTTTCCTATCATTTTCCCCAAAAAGTCAAAAATCGACCCCGGGCCCGCTTGGTCAAAACTCGAGGTTCGGACCAAAACCCATTCACCTATTCACCCCCGAGCCCAAATATGTAATTAGTTTTGGAATCCGACCCCAGATCAAGGTCTAAATTCTCAAATTTGCAAAATTCTCAATTCTTCCTAAAATCCCTAATTTTACCATGAAAGAACAAGATTTAGGGCTAGAAATCTAATGGATGTTGATGAAAATTGAAAGAGATGAGTTAAAGAACACGAACCTATGATTTGGTGTTGAAATCCTTCTTCAAAAATTGCCCTAGGTTGAGTTCTAATGGAAGAGATATGAATTTTTTTGAAGAATCCCGTCTTAGGTTCTGTTTTAAAATCGCTGGACAGGTCTTCTTCGCATTCGCGAGAAGCCTGTCGCGTTCGCGAAGCTTTGGCCCTATTGGCCTTCGCGTTCGCGAGTAACACATCGCGTTCGCGAAGGCATATCCCCCCAGCCTTCACGTTCGCGATCCAAGCTTTGCGTTCGTGATGAGTTAACTTCCCCTCCCCCGGGTCCCATGCTTCGCGTTCGCGGTAGAAGGGTCGCGTTCGCGAAGGGTAAAGCCCCCGCTGCTCCGTGTTCGCAAAGAAGAAATTTCCCCCCGTCCCTCTTTACCTTTCGCGTTCGCGAGACTACCTACGCGAACGCGAAGAAGGGCATATCAGAACAACTGCTGCAGCAAAAATACCATATTTTCTAAGTCTAAAACATCCCGTAGCCTATTCGAAACTCTCCCGAGCCCACGAGGCTCCACACTAAACATGCACACAAGTCTTAAAACATCATACGGACTTGCTTTCGCGATCAAATCGACAAAATAACACCTAGAACTACGAATTTAGCACCAAATTGCATGGAATTTTCAAGAAAGTTCAAAAGTTCTATTTTCTCAACCAAGGGTCCAAATCACATCAAATCAGTCCCGTTTCCCACCAAATTTCACAGATAAGGTATAAATATCATAATGGACCTGTACCGGGCTCCGGAACCACAATACAGATCCGGTATCAACAAGATCAATTATTAACCAAATTCTCAAAACCTTTACAAAATCCAGTTTAACAATTTTCATCAAAAATTTATTTCTCGGGCTAGGGACCTCGGAATTCGATTCCGGGCATACGCTCAGGTCCCATATTTTACTACCTTCCGGGACCGTCAAAATACGGTTCCGGGTCCGTTTACTCAAAATGTTGACCAAAGTCATCTAAAATCAACTTTTAAAGGCAAAAATTATTGTTTTCTCAAATTTCCACATAAAGGTTTTCCGGAAACGCGCCCAGGCTGCGCATGCAAATCGAGAAGAAATAAAATGAGGTTTTTGAAGTCCTTGAAACCCCGAATTGGGTTCTAAAATACAAGATGACCTTTCGGGTCATCACAAGGAGATTGAATCGGTTTTGGTTAAAAAGTTTGGTATAACTCTTACAAAAAGGGCGCTAACATGGTGCTCTCTCTTACATGAAAATGCCATTGATTCTTTTGCTGAGCTTGCAGATTCATTTATAAAGGCACATTCGGGGGCTCAAAAAGTTGAAAAAGAGGATGGAAGATATCTTCAAAGTTAAACAAGGGAGTACAGAATTGCTCAGAGAATTTGTAGATAGAATCCAACGAGAGAGGATGTTGCTGTCGTGAGTACCTGATAACTGGTCGGCTATGGCGTTCGCGAGCAACTTGAACGAGAAAGTTCAAAAGCCACGAGGAGGTTGAAGGAAAGCTTGTGGGAATTTCTAGCAACAACTTGAAACGATGTGTACAATTGATACAGCACGAAGTTGCGGATAGAAGAAGATACGGTTGCACAACCGAGGGTTGACGAAAGATCAGGTTTGAGACGCTCGAAATCAGAGAGAAGGTATGGTAAAAATAGGTACGAGCCTTACATGGGACCCGCGGGGCGAGATTCTCGACCTAATCAAGAGAATGCACGATTTGATTCAAGGTCAAGGCAAAAAAAAGCGAGTTCTTGATCCAAGTTCAAAAAGGAGCGAGATGCCCGAAGCAATGATTCTGGTACTCAAGCGAGAAAAGGAGATTATAGCTTTAACATTAGCACCTTTGAATTGGTGGTTGTTCCACGAGGGATGGGAGATAAGGTGCGATGGCCGAAAGAGATGAGATCAGATACAAATAAAAGGAATCCAGATTTCTGGTGCGAGTTTCACAATGACCATGGCCATACAATAGTAGATTGCAGGCTTTTACAAGGGGAGGTTGAGCATTTACTAAAGCATGGATATCTTACTTATCTATTCAGCGAGAAAGGAAGACAGTCATACATGAAAAATAGGCAAGAACCTCCAAAGCCTCCATCACCAAAGAGGACAGTTAACGTCATAACCGGAGGATATGAAGTCAATGGAGTAACATACACAGCCATGAAAAAGACATCAAAAGTCACTGTCACTCATGGAAAGCGAGTTCGCCAAGTCTTAGATGGTGATAGTATAATGTTTGATGATGAAGATGCAGACGACTTGATTGATCCAGGTAGCTCAGTAAGCATCATTTTACTGAGGGTGGTAAGAGAAATGCAAGCTAATGACAAGGTTATACCAAAGGCACTGTCTTTTTCTGGATTTAATAATTCAAGCATTAATACGAAAGGAGAAATTGTATTGGCCACATTTGCAGAAGGAGCCATCAAAAATACAAAGTTCCAGGTAATAGACGCCGACATGGCCTATAATATAATCTTGGGAAGGCCATGGATTCATGATATGGATTTTGTCCCGTCCACGTTGCATCAAGTTATCAGATTCCCTTCACAATGGGGAATCCGACAAATCCGCGGAGATCAACAGGCTTCACGGAGCATTAATTTGGCGGTGATTGCAAACACAACAGCCAACAATGCAGATGCGAAATAACAATTAAAGGATTCAGTTGGGGACACCTCTATTCATACCTCAACTGAAAACGCACAAGGGCAGAGTGATGTCGATTCAAGACCTGATGTGATTCAAGAGCCAGAGAAAAACAAGAACACTAAAACAACCACGGAAGATCTCGAGGCTGTAATATTATTTGTCCACTGGCTAGATAGAAAAGTTTACGTCGGAGCAAATTTGAGCCCAGAAATGAAAGGTAAGTTAATTGAATTTTTACGTGCTAACACAGATTGCTTTGCTTGGTCGCATTTCAATATGACAGGTATAACACCAGATATCACGACCCAAAATCCATTAAAGGTCGTGATGGCGCCGGACACCGCTGTCAGGAGAGCCAACAATAATTAATTAATTTGGTTCTCATTTTAGTAATTTTGAAACCATAATTTCCTTCAATTATTAATAGTAAAAGATGGAATTTACAGAGAAAATAATAATGTTATAACAATTTCAATATTGAGCAACCCATAATCACCCCAAAACCCGTTGTCACGAGTGCTTGGGCATCAACTAGGATGATAAAATAAAGTAGAACATCTGTCCGGAAAACAAATTAGACAGGAAAATACATAAGTAACTCTGAAGGAGACTCTACTGGTTACGGATCGTAATATGGAAATGTAGCCCACCTAAGTCCCCCCAAATAACCACGCGTCTGCTCTCACAGGGCCACTAGACACATATGTACTTGCAAAAAATTGTGCAGCAAGTGTAGTATGAGTACGTAAATCAACGCGTACCCAGTAAGTCTCCAGTCTAACCTCGAAGAAGTAGTGACGAGGGATTGACCCCGACACTTACTATGGGCCAACAATAAACTACCATTATATTATTTAAGCATGGAATACATAACATGACTGAAAATTTAATAACCGAAAACAATCAACAGTTCTTTTACTAATGGAAATTTGCCAACTTCATCTTTCATCATTTAACAATTTATATCTCAAGCCAATAAAGCAAAGTCAATTAATATTAGTTCCAAGGTGCACAAATAATGCCGAGTTCGTACGGCCTGATCCAACATATCAATATAAAATGTGCACTGCCGAGGGCCGAACGACACGAACCATAGATGCATCTATTTAACTTGCCGAGGCAAACGGCCCGCTCCCATGAGAATAGTGGAAATTTACCCTGCTCGCGGAATATATTTGCGACGCGGTTGCACATAGATTTCTTAATTATTAATATCATAATATTCTTTAGTTCTTTTCAAAAGTACGAAATTCAAATGAAAACTTTCAAGTCCTAAAATCCTCAATTTCAACTCTTTTCAAGGCATTTAATAAGCATACTCGATCTCAATTCCTTTCAAGGCAAATAATAAACAAAATCAAATAACGGCATCAGCAAGGCATGGTGTAAACCTAGATCTACCCGGACATAGGCATAATTAGTAGCTATGTACGAACTCTCATCACCTCATGCGTACATAGCCCTCACAAATAGAAGCACATATTAATTCAGTTCACCTATGGGGTTAATTCCCTCTTACAAGGTTAGAAAAGAGACTTACCTCGCTCCGGAATTCCATAACCGGCTCCCGAGCCCTTCCAACAACTCAAACCGATGCCCAACGCTCCAAAACTAGTCAATAAATATGCAAATCCATAAATATATATTCTACTACTCATATAATAAATTCCAAACAATTTCCAACTCCGTTCGAAAAGTCGATAAAAATCACCATCGGGCCCACGTGCCCGGATTCCAAAAATTTTTGAAGATAAACTTTACCCATAGCATCACGAACTCAAATATATAATTTATTCTCACTTCCATGCCCAAATTCTTGATCAAAATCCAAAAATACCTATTTCTTGGTTTTCTATCAAAAATCCCAATTCTACTAATTTCCATATTTAAATCCTTATACAAACCATGTATTTAACTTATAATAAGTGGGAATCACTTACCTTTGAAGCTCTCTAAAATCGCCCCAACCAAGTGAAAAATTGAAGAAAATGGGCCAAGTCCCCGTTCTTAAAGAACCCTTTGCCCCCAGTTGCCCGCTTCCGCTTTTGCGCCTTTCTTCCGCATATGCGCCTTCACAAGTGCGGACATTCCCTTGCACCTGAGGTCCTACCCAGCTCGCCCAGCATCGCTTCTGCGACCCTCCTGGCCGCTTTTGCAGCTCAGCACCTGCGGCCAAAACCTCGAAGGTGCAGTTACACCAGATGACAGCAGCCCCAGCATTCCTCCAAGCCCAAACTCGATCCGTTTTCCATCCGGAAATCCACTCGAGGACCTCGAGACCTCAACCAATTACACCAACACATCCCAAAACACATTACGAACTTAGTCGAGCCTTCAAATCACATCAAACATCATTGAAATCACGAATCGCAACCCAATTCAAGCTTAATGAACTTGAGAACTTCAAACTTCTACATTCGATGCCGAAACCTATCAAATCACGTCCGATTGACCTCAACTTTTCACAAAAGTCACATTCGACATTGCGGACCTACTCCAACTTCCGGAATCGGATTCCAACCCCGATATCAAAAAGTCCACTCCCGGTCAAGCTTCTCAAAAAACTTCAAATTTCTAACTTTCGCCATTCGGACGCGCTCCCAATACTAGAATCACCATACAGCGCTATTCCGAGACTCGGAAATCCCAAGCGGACATCGATAACATTAAAATACGCTTCCACCCCAAATTTATAAAATCCTTCCAAATGCCAACTTTTCACAATATGTGCCGAAATGCTCCTGAGTCATCCAAAACCTTTTTCGGACATACTCCCAAGTCCAAAATCATCATACGAACCTGTTGGAAACTTCAACTCCCGATTCCGAGGCCGTTTACTCAAAAACTCAACCTTAGTCAATTCTTCCAACTTAAAGCTTCCGAAATGAGAATTTTCTTTCCACATCAACTCCGAGCTTCCCGAATTTAAATTCCAACCACGCGTACAAGTCATAATACCTGAAGTGAAGCCTCAAACCGCTGAACGACATGCTAGGGCTCAAAATGACCGGTCGGGTCGTTACATTCTCTCCCACTTAAACTTACGTTCATCCTCGAACGTGCTAAGAACTACTCTGGAGTTGTCTGAAATCATTATTCAACACCTCGTGCACCTACCTGTGCTACGACAACTCAGTTGAGCACATTAGCTCGAGCAAATCTGAAGATTCTCCCTTTTATTTAGTCAAATTAGCCTTAGAGCCAAATTCCAACATCCGGAATTCTCTGCCTGGCCTGTTTCCATCATACAAACACCGTATCAATCACTACACGATGCACCAATACATGATTGCATACCTTTGCTGAATCCACACCATGCACCGCATAATTCACATGACCATAATAACATTCTCTGATAACAATAGCCGCAATCCCGCGAATTCGATGCTCACAACACACCTTATGACACATATAGGTCCTGTTCCAACTCTTGTAATGCTGCCACATTGGAAGAGATGTGTAGAAAATCGTAACCAACTGCCGAGTCAACAAATCACTGAGTTCCTCCTCTTGACAAGAACCATTACCTCATTATGAACCAAATAACGGTATTTGCTCTTTAATATGCTTCATATAAATCTGATTGCACTAATCCTAGGTCCAATAATCTCGTCTCACCCAGTACAAGCTGCTCCGGAAATAAGCCACCTCAGACACTGCCAAAAGCCTCATATGATGCCACAATGTGCCAACAAGCTACAAACTCGAATGTGTTACCGAAGGAAAAATGAACCCTGGAAAGAACTACTCAACCCACGTAACTAATCAAACAACCGAAAGGATGCTATGAACCATCCACAGAACATGAGAAACAAAACACACAAGAGAAGATAAGGGGAACTGAAATCAATATCACACTATTGCGGCGTGCAACCCGATCCACACATGATACCGTTGCGGCGTGCAACCCGATCCAGATACCCGTGGCGGCGTGCCACCCGATCCAAACAATGTACCCGTGACGGCGTGCCACCCGATCCACACATAATAATCTATACGCAAGTACTTACCGAGCTAAAATGCTTATAACTTCGAAATACCCAAATATCAACCACAAGCACGCCAAGTGCGTAATACAAACCCTGGGGAGACAGATAGCGCCATACAGTACGAACCTCAAGCACAACTAAGGTGAAATAAATGACCTGCATCTCGAGAGCCATCCTGCTCATAGAACACCACAAATTACACGGGATCTAAATATGAGTGTGAATAATCAAACCGCCTCAGAACCCACATGGCACAATAGTATTACACAATATAGTCGACGACGAAATAACATCTAACGTCCGAATACTCCTCTATAAACAACGCTATGTTGAAATAAACACATCCGGCTTCATATAGAGCCCACATTCACATTTAGATCCATCCACAAACCTCAAGCCGATTCTGATTGTACCGCATTGGGCCAATAACTTTTCAGGGGTCCACAATAACCCTTTTTCCATGACACACAAGAACAACCGTCAATTCGGAACAAACATCCACAATTTGCAACCAAACTAATAGAGCGCCTTCCAGGCCTAAACTCTTACATTAGCGATAGTACCATTACCTCCATACTTGGTTTTAATCTTCAATCAATCAAGTGACTATATGTCACACTTATACCATCTTCTCGTAGGACACGCTCCCACGACCTTCCGCACCAGATAACAAGTCTACACATCCATACCACCGGTCATACTAATGCTGCAAAGCAAATCAGAAATTCGCAAATCAGTACACCAAGCCTCTTACACAGGACACCGATCTCAGGTGACGCTTAAGACAATTCCAACTTACTCTAACCATCTGAATCTTTTTCTGCTCATCCGAGCTTATGACATTCTTGTCAACACCGAACCGCAACCTTGATCCTCAACTTCCAATTCCCATGCTACCCACTGCACCTAACCATGCCAATACGCAAGAGTACAAGAATTCCATCATAACTCCTGAACCACTGAAATGGTACTCATTTCAGGAGAACCATTGCAACACGTGACTGAATTCCC